GTTTGAGCAATTTCAAACCCACAGTCCTGAGAATAAAATTAGGGCCCGCCCCTTCCCCCCCCCTCCCCCGAGGAACCATGGAAGGGAGAATGGAGGGGCCATGGGGGGGGGGCTCCAAGGGTCACATATGAGAGATGCTCGAGGGGATTGCCTCAAGAGCAATGGCTGGAGATGGGTGCAGCATAGACTCATCAGTGTAATAACCAGTCTCAGATTCTCAGGTTAATGAAGGATAGGTAGAGAAATGCCAAAGACTTGCTTGTATGAAAAGCTTTTCCTGCAGTCCCAACACCAATGTTTAGTTGTTGTTGGACTGTAAAGTATGTGTGTGGTGTGTGGTATAGAGTGGAGTAACAAATGGCAGAGGTTGACAGAGGCCAAATCATGGAAGGCCATGCTAATTTTATTAATTTATATAGTGCATAAAGTCTAGAATTTAAAATTACAAAGGTTTTCTACAAATCAATAAGAAAATACAAATAACCTATATTAATCAGGACAGAAACCCAATTCAATTATCTTAAACAAGAAAGGGACTTTATTGGCTCACAAAACTTTAAAGTCCGGAGGTAGGGCAGGCTTTAGGCACAGCTGGATCTAGGGCCTCCAGAAAAATGACATCAGAACTTAGTTCTCTTTCCTTTCTGCTAGTCTCTGAGTTTCTCCTGAGACAGACTCTCCACGTGGTACAAATTCAGGCTTACATGGTCCTTCATGTGTGGGATCTCCATCGAGCCTTCTTTCCAATAGTTCCAGCAGAAGTCCTGTTGAGGGCTCTCTTTAGCCTGGCTTGAGTTACACGCCCATTCTTTAATCACTGTGGTTAGGGAGCTGCAGGACTCAGGAAGGCCAGACCTGGTCAAGTACTCACCTAAGCCACAGGGAATGGGTTCCCCACAATAAATAAGGGTTCTGTTACTAGGAGATGGGGAAAGAGATGCTGAACAAACAAAAACATATATCCACACATAACCCAATAGGAAAGCAGGAAAAGGATATGAACAAACATAAACATATGAAAGTAACCTCAACCACACCATCAATAAGGGAAATGCAATTAAGGATTCTTTTTTTCTTTTTTAGCCATCAGATAAAAACTATCAAACTGTAGATAAGGCTATCTGGGGAAATGAGCATTTTCCATACAGTCGGTAAAAATATAATGTTATGAAGGCCTTAAGTGGGTCTATCAGAGAGCTCACCCTTTGATCTAACAATCCACCCTATACAACTCCGTCCTAAGTGTATTCACACACATGCACAAACACATGTGAAAAAAGATTTACTTTGGCAATATAATAGCAAGAGGGGGAAAAGTTGGGAAATAGTTCAATAATGGTATTTTCTTTCTTTTCTTTTTCTAGCTGAGCCATCCTGCCACCTGTTGGTAGCTCAGCGGCAGCTCAGCTTGGGCCAGGAATCAAACCAGAGACCTTGTTGCTCAGAGCTCACCCTCTTGAGCAAGCTCTTAACCAACGGAGTCACTTGGCCGGCCCAATAATGGTATTTTCATAGTATTCAATCCTATTCAACCACTAAATAAATTTAGACCTACAGATAGGTTTTTGAGACACACACAAAAAAGCTGCAGAATATATGACCCTATTTATGTAAAAACAGCTTTTATATGTTTATGTGTATTCATATGAAAATGTATGGAAAAGGGACTAGATGGATGTATACTAAACTGTGGGCAATGGAATGTGATTGGAAGTGCTGAAGAAAAGGATCTCTCTTTGCTCTTATACCTGTGTATCATTTAAGTTTTGTACAATGAGCTGGTAGTCATTTATACTTTCATAATTAAAAAAAAGAAAAATGGGTAAACGCAATTCACACTATGAAATACAAATGAAGAGATGTTCCTTAATAATCAAGGAAAGGAAATAAATTTTGCCTATCAGACTGGCAAAAAAATATTTAAGGATTCAGGGTTGGTGGGAGAGTAGGCAAACAGGCACTCTTATTATTGATGGAGCTGTAAATTGGTACAATCTCTTGGGTGGCAATTCTTAAAATGTTAAATGTGTACATTCTCTGACCCAAAAAATCCACTTCTATTTATCCTACAGAAATACCCACACAGGCAGCAAAATATATGTACAATGATGTTAACTGTATGTTTATCTGCAATAAAAAATTGGAAAGAACCAAATTGTCTACCAATAAGGGTTGGTTAAATTAATTATACTATATTCATGGAATGGAATAGTACGTAGCTGTGAAAAACAATGTCTACATGAAAGTGGGGTGTTTCAGTGTAGTACATGTAAAATGGGGATATGTACCTACCTTATATGGTTGCTGTGAGGACTGAGTTAAATCACAGTAAAGCACTTCAAACAATGCTTGCATATAGCAACTACAAGTGTCAGCTATTAACACGTTTTTTCTTTAATTTGTATATGCCTAGTCTGAAAGAATAATAAACCAAGTAATTATTACTTCTGGGTAGGGCTATGAGAAGGAATGTGTTTTTTCATTTTTGGTTTTTGTTTTTTTTGCATTTCTGAACTATAGAAAATTCATTTGAGCATATTTAATAGCTTTCACATTTGTTAATCATAAAAGATAAAAGCATCTTAACCATAAAAAAAAACTAATATCAAGGTTAAACAGCCATCACTCGTGGCACTGTGGGAAAATGTTATGTCCCCCGAGTTCACAGATATAGATTTGAGTTTTAACTCTACTTGGCCACATGCAAGTCACACAATTTCTGATCTTGCTTCTGCAGTCTATAAATCTAAGTGAGACAGGTACAGTGTCTAATCAAATGCCTGGCATGCAGATTATTTCAATACATATAACCACCCCTTCAATTTACATAAATGTGATATGATCACATTCTTAAGAAGTATCACTTCTTAATGATCAAGTGTCAACTGGGCGTCAATGTAGGGAGCTTAACCTCCAAGAAAACCAGAAGAGAATTTAGCAGTAATGAGCAAATGCTCAGTGGCTACTGGGTAGGTATCAGCAGTCTGCATGCTATTAACACTGAGCACTCATTTGTTAGCCAACAGATGCTAATGCTTGGCAGCTGCCAGATCACCACTTCATCAGAGGCTGGGCAGCCCCCAGAATTGCTATTATCTATGTGGGTATAAATGAATGTATAGATGAAATCATAAATCACTAAATAGTTATTTTAAATCAATTTGTCTACTGGGGATTTAGCCTAATCAGAGGGCAAGTACAGAGACCACCACTTCCTTTTCGGGTGTACCATCATCCATTCTTTTTGGATCCAGCCATTTTCCCCAGAGCCTTGCCTTAGCCTCAGAATCCTTTCTAGACAACCCACAGGTATCGGAGCTGGCAAGACAAACACATATTTGCCAGCTCTAATACTAGTTTTACTAAGCTCTCACATTATACCAAACATCTTTGGCATTTATGACAAATCAACCATATGGAAGCTTCTTTGCATACAGGAAAGACATAATATCTTAAAAAGCATGAAATTGCAGCCACTGAGAGCTTGATCCCTTCTTATCTACTCTAAGAATTCCAAATATGCCACCTCAAAGCCTACTTGGAAAGAAATTATAAATAAATAAACTCAAAATCGCTTTATCTTAGAGTGGAGTTTATACCTTTATTGGACATTGACTTGTTTCCTCTCAGCCAGAGAAAAAGACCCAAACAAAAGTCCCTACATTTTCTTGTATAACTTAAAATACATTATATCATTACTACATATTTATACCTCAATAAATCTTAATCTATAAAGCACATTTCTTATAATTAATTGTTATCAGAAAAATCTATAAACAAGCTCCATTCTGCCTCCCTTCTCCACCAGCTGGCCTTGCATTTATTACTATGCTTTTCAACAGGCTCATGCAATTCTCACCTTCCATTTTTAAAATCTGATCCAAGCACCAGGTGTAACCAAAATCTCTGGAACTATGAAATATTTTTATTCACATGGGTCATTTTCCACACAATTACACCCATTATAAAAAAGCCTGTTCTCATATTCTTTAACTTCCAGTTTTCCACTGAACAGGAGAACCACAGTACTTGGAATTCTCAGCCATGGAGTATATAATCCTACTACTACAATGTATTACTTTTATACATTTTAAAAAATGTGTTAAGACTTAAAATTAAAAAAAATAGTTCAATCAATTCTGATAGTTAATAAACTAGTTGTTAATAACCTAGCTGTTTATTTTTTTAAATAGAACAATCCATTCAACTAACATGTAAGTACAACCTCAATGCTACTAGAGATTGATTAGTTTTTTTTTAAAAGACCCACAAACCTCCAAACTGTGATACAAGAGTATTTTGGACTCACCTCTGAAGAATCCTGGAGATGGCTAGCTCTTTGAGCTGAGTCGTCCTTTCCCCCCAATATAACACCCTGGTAAGAGAACTATGGCTCTGGGAATTTCAGAGGTGAGCTTCCCCCAGGACTGCTAACACAGGGAGCAAGAGGCTAACTCACATGAAAGAGCTTTGTACCAAACCCCCAATAATTTACAGTGGAAGAAATACCTACCTACTTATGGTAGGGTTACAGTACCTAGCACAGTGCCTTGTCGGTAGAAAATGTTTAATAATAAATGAATGCATGGCTGTTTTGTTAGCCTGGTGTTCAACCCTTTTTTACCAAAGGAATAAAATAGCAAACCTGATACTTGTTGCCTACCTGTCAGGGATTTTTCTGTCCTTAACAAAAACGAAGGCAAAATAATAATGAATTGGATCTTCAAGTCTTTTTTGTTTTCTAAAAGCCAAGAAAGATCATTACCCTTTTACATTTGCCCTTCAACACTGCCATGCACTGCAAATTCTCCCCTAGTGTTATTTCTACTTTCATAGTTTACGATTGTTTATTGTTTAGACTGCCCACTTTCTAATGATACATGGGAGAACTTTATTTTCATTAGTGGGATGCCTCCAAATTATAGACAGGATGCTCCATTTTTGAGTTTTCCAGCAGGCAGATAATTACATTTAGATAGATTCTTGATAAACTTCAATTCTTGGATCAAAGTTATTGTATCTTCTCCAATCTAGGTGTCCCATTCACTTTTTGATGTTTTATCACTTCTAATCTTACTTTGAAGCTTTTAGTCATCCATTATCTTCTATTTTCTGAAATGCATATCCAAATTTTGTGAATCAAAACAGAAGAGTAAATTTTGAAAAGATGGTTTTATAATTCCAATGCTGCTTTTTAATGTAGAAGGGACTATATCCTTGCAAAGAACATTTCAATAATGAACACAGAAATAAATTTGTCTAAAAAAGGAAATGTTTTAGAAAAGGGCAAAGAATCAGGCAGTTCATTATTTGGAAAAAATAGTAAGAATATAAACATCACATGGAAGATTTAGGCATTAACACCTGAATTAAGTTTAAAATTTCCATTTCTAGGCAGGTATGACACCATTTCTTTCAAGATAAAATAATGGTGGGTGACAATTTCCTATATTTCCCAGTGGATTTTCTAAGTCTATAGGGAAACAAAACTATTATGTATCATTCCATGTTTTTAATTTTGTCTTCATTTCTGAAGAAAAAGACCTGAGTGCTGACTTTTTTTTTTAATTTCTTAAACTTTCACAACATTCAGAAGTTTTTCTGCATTGTGTCTTCGCTGATGTCTAAAAAGATTTGAGCTCTGACTATAGGATTTCCCACACTGAACGCATTCATAAGGTTTCTCTCCAGTATGGATTCTCTGATGATTAATAAGCCCAGAATTCTGGCTAAAGGCCTTTCCACATTCAAGACATTTGTAAGGTTTTTCTCCAGTGTGGACTCTCTGGTGTTGCACAAGGATAGAACTTCTGCTGAATGCCTTCCCACATTCAACACATCCGTAGGGTTTCTCTCCACTGTGGATTCTTTGATGAAGAATAAGAGCTGAGCCCTGACTGAAGTGTTTGCCACATTCATCACATATATGTTGTTTCTTTCGAGAAGGATTTCTCTTTCTTTCAAATCTGCCTTTAGGGAAACAGGCTTCTCCATATTTAAAAATCTGAGGAACACCTATACTGAGAGTGCCAGGAACTTCATGAGATTCTACTGCTGAAGGAATCTCCTGCTTTGGAGCTAACGCTCCATTTTCAGTCCTAGCATCATCATCTGAAATAAACAGAAATTGTAAATCACTTCCTGTTCTAGGAGAAAGGAACCTAAAAAAAGGTTTTTTTAATGAACTAAAAGTAAATAGCTTGCATACATCTATAAACAACACTCTGAAAACTGGCATTAAGGTTCCTACTCTCAAAAGAGAAAAAGATGAAATGACTGATTATGAAGCTAATGAGGTAATGGCATGATAACATGAGAGAGAAAACAGTATATCTGAATAAAAGTAGTAACATAGGCGAGTGGGTTATAAATGGTAATCAGAAAATAAAGAAGAGAAAGGTGGTAAACCTTAAGACTGTTAGAGAGACAGTGAAAATGATAGTTAGATCTGGATGAAACTTTGCAAGAAAAATAAAGTTGCCACTAGGAAATCATATTTTTTTTGCTTTGAAAAACAGAGAAATTACATCAAAATACAATGGTGTAGAAAATAAAGTCAGAAAGTGACTACTTATGAAATATGCAAGACAAGGCAAGTAAGTCATAGCTAAGAGTAGGCTAAAAGCAAAACACAGGAGGAGTCCTGACAGGAAGGAGCTGAAGATAAACTGGGGACATCCTGTGTTAAGTCAGGACATGCCACTTATTTATCGTGGTACCTAGATGAGTTATTATTTCTAGGCCTGTTACATGCCATCTAGTGAAAAAAACGCCTTTACCAACACGAGATACCATTAACCATCTGCAGGCAGCTGTATGAGCAAGTCTCATGCTGAAACTTCAAGCCTTGAAGAATCAAGACAGTTAATACACGGTGAGCAGGAGCTCACAGAAAAGAGGTAAACGGTGAACGGGTTTATAATAAATGATTAAGAAAGGGATTAAGGGGCGGCCGGTTAGCTCAGTTGGTTAGAGCGCAGTGCTCATAACACCAAGGTTGCCGGTTCAATCCCCAAGCCCTCCACAACTAGATTGGGACAACTACTTGACTTGGAGCTGAAGGGTCCTGGAAGAACACACTGTTCCAAACTAAAAAAGAAAAAGAAAAAAGGGATAAAATCAGGAGATAAGGCTGACAAAGAGAGACAGAAGGGTGAAGGGGACTAGTGAGGCCTGGAGACTTGAAGAACAAGGAGGTGAGTGTGAAGTTTAAGTGAAGACGGATGGCACAGAAAGAAGTTAAGCTCTCAGGTTTGGCAGAGGCTAGACTGCTGAAATGAGGTATTTAAAAATAGGTGAAAGTATTCTAAAATTCAGGCAAGGGAGAAGATTTCCACCTAAGAAAACGTCACCTCCAAAGAATAAGGATAATGGTTCTCTTCATTGCACAGAAGAATATCCCACGAAACACGTAAAACTGCAGATTCTCAGCCTCATCCTAGCAGTTCTGATTCACTAGCACTGTCCCCCTCAAATGGGAAGAAAACCTGCTCAGATCTCATTCTGTGACACTCCAGCGTGATCTCCAACTACTTCAAGGAATGACTCCCAAAGCAGTCTCAAACAAAATTTCATTTCGGTTCATATAAATATGACAAAGAAATCTAGCACTTTTAGGAAAATGATGGGTTGCATCAAAGTATACAAAGAAGTATGTGGTCTTAATTGCCAACATACTGGAAAAAACTAGTCTAAGTGAATTATTAGAATTATAAGTTGTTTTTTTCATAAAGTTTATTATTGCTAGGAAACATATTTTTGCATATTTAGAAAAGGTGAAGAGTTTTACCCAAG